ATGAGCATCCCCAAATACCTCGAAAAGGATACCCATATAGCATATTTTGAAAAATCGTGTCCGCCATCTTGGATTTACAAATAAGTGCTATATTCGTTTTTCATCGACAAAACCGAGCATATCTGTAGGCACCTGATCGACAATGTCGGGCAAATCTGTAGGCACCTTTAACTTAATGATGAGTTAAGCAAGATACAATTTCCCCACTTTTGAGGGAAATGTTATTCCATGGCATCATTATTTGTATATTTGTGTGCGTGCCGACGAGCGTAGTTACAAGTTGCTTACGCCTACATGAATTTGGTTTTTGCCTCACTTGTGACAGTTCGTTTGATATGAAACTATCATTCTATGCGTTATTATTCTAAGTAGCTAACTACCTACACCGAATTTTGATTATGTCAGAAAAACATCGATTTAGATTCTGGAAGTTAAGTCCTTGTAGGAACAACTGCATGGACCTATGTCATAGTTTAACACCTGGCACTTTGAAATAAAACTTGGAGCAATTAATGGGCTGGAAGTTTCTTACCCAAATTTGGTGACGTCATTCAAACGTGTACGTGTGTAGTAGTATCTTGTCACATCACACAAATTTGACATCAGTAAAATGGGGTATAAAGCTAGTGCCGCGTACTTTTTAAATATTTTTTCCTAAAAATTTGATTACATTGTAGAGGGCGCAATTTTGACACTAATCATTGTATTTTAATTTGTAACATTGTGAAAATGATAACATGAACTAAACGTATCTATTGTATGCAATGAATGGGTTGATCAAAAAGGCCGTGCCAATTTTGCCACTAGTTAAAAAAAGAACTTTTTTCTTATAAAATGTTATATTGTGAACTGGTGAATAGTAAAGGTATTAAAGGTAATAAAGGTATTTCATCGTGATAATACCTTCCACGCACATGTTTATAAAGTCATCAATAAATATTGCAGTAAGGTGCAGATGCGTTACCTCGTCCTCGGCCACAGGGCCTTCAAAGTTTTACTTGTTGTGTGTGTGTCTTTACAAAATTCTTTAAATGGATACCGCTTTGATAACATAGAAGCCATCAAATGACACTGTATTTTATAAGTCAAGAATTTTTATGGAAGGGCGAACTCTTAAATTACCCGAAAGAAGGTAAAAGGTTGTGGATGAACATGGCTAACATATTATAATTGATTAATCACAGCACCGACAGGACCGAACGTCCTGCTACGTCCGGCCGGCCATACCGACGACGTTGCTATACCTGTCGACTGCATTACTCCACGAAGTCTGAGGAGATAGTGGAGTATATCAGACAAACAGCCAAATACATCTGACACCAGATTGTGCCACACGTCGCAGACAAGTGCAATTCGAGTAGATTAGTTAGAAATAGTGTTATATTGTATGTATGTTAGTCTATAAGGTATGTATTTATGGATTTTGTAACTTGAATACAAATAAATAAAATATAATTAATTAAAGTTTGATATTTATTTTTAAAATGTTTCTCATTTATACTTTGATACCACGTGGAGTTTTTCAACCCAATACTATTCATTATCAAAACTTGCAAATGCAATAATGTGCTAGCATCTCACCTATTGATATGCTCCAAGTACTGGCCAGTGCAGAAGTACTGAACGAGCACGGCCGTGTTGTTGAGACACTGCAGGATCGAGTTCATGTAGCACGTGTTGCCCAGGTTCTTCAAGCCGGTCAGGCCGCGGCCCTGCGCAAAAAAAGTATGATTTATTATCATAGTTGTCATCGACCATACACCACTACTGGGAACGGGTTTTTTTTATATTTATGATATCTAGTGTAGGGATGAACAAGGCTTGCGCTCGGGTGTAAAGCGACACGCCTGTCGATAGCAGTTACCAGAAACACTGAAAATCAGCGTCGTAGCACTTTCAGTGAGGGCGCGTTCCCACAATGTCGTGACGACAGATTGTCGTGACGACAGATTGTCGTGCAGTTTACAGTGTCATGGCTTGTATATTTAAATGAAGTTGTTCACATATACCATGACACGATTAACTGTCGTTCACTATTTTTTATCGTTACAACGACAAACTGTCGTCACAGTGGGAACAGCTAGAACGACAGTCGTCTGACGATAAAAAACGTCACGATAAAAACGTGACGACAGATTGTCGCAGCTCCTATTGTCGTCACGTTTTATTTATCGCTGTCCGCACGAATTCTGCTGCCTCGTACCCCGCGCCCTCTTCTCGCTTTACAGTAGCGTTGGGTCGTAGCCAGAGATGGGCAAGCAGGCTGTCGTGAAACGATAAATTGTCGTCACGATCTAGTGGGAACAGCTCGTTACGACAGTCGTTCAACGATAAAAAATCGTCCACGACAGATAGTCGTGATATGGGAACAGGCTAGACACGACAGTCGTACAACGATAATAAAACGTGACGACATAGTGGGAACGCGTCCTGAGACTACGGTAAGCTGAGTGGGAGACGGATCCCGTAACAACACAGCGCACACGCTGCACATTATATGTATGTATGTAAACACTTTGTTGCACAACATAAAAATTACAATTTTTTATAAACAATTTTATGTTAGTGTACAAAGACGAGCTAACCTTTGAATAATTGAAAGGTGGATGGATCCTGGGACTGCAATAAAATCTAATAAACCATGAAATTGAATGCTACATACTCTTATACAATAATTACACGGACAAATTTATTATAATTATATAATATAATAATAACGCACACACTCAACATAGCCCTGCACTTGGGAAACCCTGGGTCACGGGTGCCATGGACACACTTATAGACCACCACAAATTACACCCAAACTCACGCGAGAAACAAATGTAGGACATACAAATATTTCTATATAGCACGGGAATCGAACCTGGGACCTCTGCGTGGCAGTCCGGTATGGTAACCGTAATAGTATTATAGTATAGGTATGGTAACCGTTAAACCGATAGTAAATGTTGATACACATATAAAATATATAGCTGTGTAATTTCTTATGTTGTGCTATAAAGTGTTTACATACATACATAATATAATGTGCAGCGTGTGCGCTGTGTTGTTACGGCATCCGTCTCCCACTCAGCTTACCGTATATGTATATTGTGCTTTTTACGGAATAAATGATTTATATTTTTTCCTTCGTTTATTGATTTTAAATCGCAAAGATCTGAGTGAAACTAGAAAGAGGAAAGAAAATACATTTATTTGTTAACTATAACTGCCACTGCGCCTGTTGCCCTAAGACATAAGTTGGCAATGTCAAGTTGCATGTGCCTGTGATTCTTAGAGGATGGAAAATAATCTCACTACAGAGTACTAAAAAAACGAACCTCAAAAGTTCGTGAAATTACATTTATTTGCCAAGTTTTATTCAAATCGGTTATCGGAAAAGGGCGCGAAACCGGATTCGCCCTCTAGTTTGCCACCCTTACAGGTGGAATATTTTCTTCAAATTTAAATGGACCCAATATTGAGTTACCCTCTTTCCAACAAAAAAAACGAATAGTCAAAATCGGTAACATAGACACAAAATGTCCTTCTTGAACTTCGTGGAAAAATAAAAGAAATTTCAACAATTTTCTCCAAGGAGAGAGTTTAGGCTATTATGCCCTAGCCCAATGGGGACTTCACACATCTTCCAATCAAGATTTGTGTTCCTTCATCGTCAGCGATAGGTATTCCTACTTAACATTCACGAATGTACCTAAGCCGGGTACTTACTAGCCAGCTGCGACTGTTACCTTTGCATGTTGTGTTACCAAAAATCATAGTGCGTACGTGGTTCGCGAGCTAGCCGCAAGCGGACGGTGTAACGTTATACGTTATACGTACACATTTATTAAATTGAAATCGGGGTAGGCGGAGGTTCTCATAATCATGCGTTCAACACAATAATTTTAGTCACCCCGAGCGCCGCCTTAACGCCGACGGCAACCGGTTCTTTTGTTCGGCATTGACGACACATTGGTTGCGCCCGCGCCGCCGCGCCGCTGGCTCCTTGCCGCCATGGCAGACGATCGCTGCTACGTATTTTAAAACGTAACCGTATTTTGGTGTTCGTCTCTGGACGTTCCTCGAAAATATCATCAATATTTAAAACATCTTATTAGTGTAACTCCAGTTTGGGGTCCAAAGTCCGGATTTGAAATCGTTGCCTCCGCTTCGCTTTCGGCTTAAGTAAGATCTTCGAGCAGGCAAGCGGTTGTTACAACCCGGCGTTTCTCTGTCGCTGAGCGTCCGTCTTCCACTCAGGCGCAGCATCAGGGCAGTAAAGAAGTAAACACGGATCGGATTGTCTATGTGAGGCCGAACCACGTCATTTGTATTTAACTGAGCCTTAGCCCTAGTAAATGTTTTATTGCGCAGTTTTGTCTTGTTTATTAAATACCTAGAAGGACAAAAACCCTGGTGCCCAACGTGTGGCGTGCTTTAATAAATATGTACGTATAACGTTACAACGGTAACCAGGTACTCATTCTACAGGAAGATTGTTTCACGCGTACCCACTAGCACCTCGTTACTGTAGGTCACGTTACAGTTACAGCTCGCTAATAAGTACCCGCCTTTAGAAATTAAATTCATAAGTAAATACCGCCACTCAATTAAGTAGCAACCATTCTCCGACTCGATTATGGATTTGATAATACAAAATTGTATTGCAAATTCTATTATGCTATTTAATACCCGAATGTCCTTGCACAATATTCTAAAACGGAGAAAATAAAGATAGTACAAACTGTGCGAGTCTTATACGCGTTCATATTGTAATGTTACCGATATTATCATTACAAGCGCAGCGAGACTACCGCCGACGAATTTACCAATGTACGGGAAAATGACATAGTGTATATTATATTGTATTAAAACATTTTTTGTATGATTTTTATTTGTAATAAATGAAATTAATCTTTTAAAAAATCAAACAACTTCAAAAACCACAAACACTCACTACACTAAAAAGTGAATACAAAAATACAGTTTTAATCCAAACGACAACAATACACAAGATAATTTAAAATAATTTTGTCTTTATTTCGTTTTGTATACAGTATTACGATTACTTATTAATCAATCTATTACAACGTGACAATTCTTGTCCAAACCTATAATTTTAATAAAATATTATTATTGGTACGTGCTACCTACTGATCGGTTTGAAATTTTAGTTCACCACTAAAAAAATTAAATATTTACAATATCTAAACCAAAAAATACTTCAATGGATTCTAATGCTATATAGTAAGTTTGTAAAATGACAAGATGTCAGTTAGAGATTTTAACCTATTTTTGCAATACACGTTAATCTGTAAATCTGGTGTTACTTTGTGGTCCCAATAATTAATATTATCCCGAGGGGTCTCTCGGACATATAGGACACCTCCGATACAAAACAGTGCACTCCAAAAATGCCACCTGTTCACAACTAACAACTCATCGAAACCAACTCACTGAGCCCGGGATCTACTCTCGTTCTCTGTTAACAGTTAGCGCCCAGTTACACGACGCGAAAGTTTTCGCACTACAGCCGCCGACCGCCTAGTTACCAATCTTTCACGTACATTAATGGCTAATCTGAATTCTATTACTAGGAAACAACATTTAAATTCCTAAGATTAATACAACCGCGCGGTCACCGCTCGGTCGCCACATAGCCCAAAGACAACCCAGTCTCGCCCGCTCATTTAAGCTAAAACGTAAAAACTAAACAAACAGAGCGTACTTCGCTATGACTGTTAGACATACGTGGTCGTTCATTTGGTTGAGTATAACTTATTTGACAGTAATTGTTTCGGACGGAGAGTAAGAGTGCAGGATAAGGAGATACGAACTGCTTTAAGTAGTTGCGGAGTTGAGCAGTTTGCACACTTCCCGGTAGTAGCATCAGACCAAGGTTATCATATTAATGTAATGCCATCTGATTTCCATAGCGTACTAAATTTCAAATCGACCAGACAAATGGAAATAAAATAAATAATCCCTACACCAGCTGGGAGCTGACCATCTTTAAATGGCTGAACCATCCAAACATAACTAAAAACCATTCCGATTAAAATAAATCCAATTTGAGATCACTACGTTCGTTTGGGAGCTAAGGTGCCACGTGACGGGACGAACAAGTCGTGAGGCTGGTGGTAAGCGCCACGCCTGTCCATTACAGTTGAAGTGCCACTCAGAGCTTTAAATCGCAAAGTTCTGAGGGGGCACTGTCACTGTAATTGCCTGTAATTTCCCCAGCACCCTTACTTTTTTAAAACCGGAAGGCAGTAACGCTCACGTTACGGCTTGGCGGCAGAAATAGATAAGGTGCTTCCAGTATTTATGTAGTCTGTGGTACTTCCCTGGACGAACTCTTTAACAAGGAGCCTACTGCTACTAAACTATCTGTATAGATACACAGACAATGGCTAAAACTGTTTTATTTGACATGCAAAATACGTAAATACATAAACAAAGACAAATAGATAAAAATAAGTTCAAGTTAAAATAAAAAAGCATGTCGAAATGGTTCATGACCATAGAAAATTTAACTACCTCCGTGGCCGAACGGTTACCATGCCGGACTGCCACGCAGAGGTCCCAAGTTCGATTCCCGGGCCGAAAGAAATATTTGTATGACCTACATTTATTTCTCTCGTGAGTTTGGGTGTAATTTGTGGTTGTCTGTGTGTGTCCATGGCACCCGCGACACAGGGTTGTCCCTAGTGCGGGGCTATGTTGA